GAAGGAGGGGGAGGAGGAGGAGGAAGAGGAGGAGGAGGAGGATGAGGAGGAGGAGGAGGAGGAGGAGGAGGAGCGGCGGCGGCGGCGGCGGCAGGAGCAGCGGCCAGCCCGCTGTCCCCGGGCGGCCCGCGCCCAGAAGGCCCGTGAGCTTCGTGCAGACGAGGTCGCTGGCGAAGGAGGCGCGGCCGCGCGGCGCGGCCCAGCCTTCAGCAGCGGCAGGGCGCCCCTCGTCAAGCGGGTGGCTTTTCCCGTGAGCCTTGCCGCTCCCATGCTGCGAGGACGGGTGGTGCCGATGATGATGATGATGATGATGATGATGATGATGATGATGATGATGATGATGATGATGATGATGATGATGATGATGATGATGATGATGATGTGGATGTTGATGATGATGATGCTGCTGATGATGATCATAACGATGAGGATGACGATGATAAGAATGATGATGATAATGATGATACTGATGTTGATGATGATGATGATGATGATGATGGTGATGATGATGGAGGTGGAGGTGGAGCTGGAGGTGGATGATGATGATGATGATGACGATAACGCTGACGATGCTGCTGATGATGATAATGGTGATACTGAAGATGATGATGATGATGATGATGATGATGATGGTGATGGTGATGGTGATGGTGATGGTGATGGTGATGATATGGATGATGATGATGATGATGCTGCTGATGCTGATGATGATGCTGATGCCGATGTTGATGCTGATGCTGATGAGGGTGATGATGAGAATGATGATACTGATGATGAGGATGATGACGATGCTGATGATGCTGCTGCTGATGATGATGATGATGCTGATGGCGATGCTGATGATGGTAATGATGACGATGATGATGATGATGATGATGATGATGATGATGATGGTTGTGGTGGTAGTGGTGGTGATGGCGATGGTGACGATGATGGTGATGGCGATGGTGATGATGATGATGGTGATGATGACGATGATGATGACGATGATGATGATGATGGTGGTATTGGTGGTGATGATGGTGATGACGATGCTGCTGCTGATGATGGTGGTGGTGGGTGATGGAGATGACGATGATGATGACGGTGATGACTATGATGATGGCGATGGTGATAATGAGGCTGATGAGGACGGTGATGGTGATGTTGATTGTGTTGGTGATGATTGTGATGGTGATTGTGATGGGGATGGCTGGAATGGTGATGGTGATGATATGGTGATGGTGGTGGTGCTGATGGTGATCATGTTGATGGTGATGGTGATGCTGATGGTGATGGTAATCGTGATGGTGATGATGATGAAGATGATGATGATGAAGAAGATGATGATGATGATGATGCTGATGATGATGTTGATGATGATGTTGATGCTGCTGATGGTGATGGTGGTGATGATGGTGATGATGAGGAGGAGGTGTAGGAGGAGGAGGAGGAGGAGCAAGATGATGAGGATGATACTGAGGATGATGATGATGCTGATGATGATGATGATGATGATGATGCTGATGATGATGATGATGATGATGATGATGCTGCTGATGATGATAATGATGAGGAAGAGGAGGAGGAGAAGGAGGAGGAGGAGGAGGAGAAATAGGAGAAGGAGAAGAAGCAGGAGGAGGAGGAGGAGGAACAGCAGGAGCAGGAAGAGGTGTGACGGTGGCTGTTGGAGGAAGAGGAGATGGTGGACGAGTGGCATGAGGAGGAGGAGGAAGAGGAGGAGCAGGAGGAGCAGGAAGTCTACGTAGGAGGAGAAGAAGGAGGAGGAGGAGGAGGAGAAGAATGCGTCAGCAGGAGGCTGAAAATACGGGAGGAAGAGACGCCCCGCATATTGGCGCAGGCGCCAGCCCCCACCTCCTTCATCCACCTGATCAGCCTCTCCGTCGATCGGTCTTTCTTGCTTCTTCATTTTCCGTTTGAATCATTCGCCCACGCGGGCTTCGCCCCATTGGAGGACACAGTCAGCATCTTGCAGGCTTGAAGGCTTGAAGGAGGAGGAGAAGGTGGTGGCGGGAGGGAGGGACGGAAGGAGGAGGATGCGGGCAGAAGAGGGGAAGGGGGAAGAGGGAGGGAGATGGCGTTTGGAGACGAGGACCGAGACCCTATGGCCCGGGAGGTCCTCCTTGTCAGCCCCACGATACCGATTACAGAGGAGGAGGAGGAGGAGGAGGAGGAGGAGGAAGAAGATGAGGACCGATTGATGAGGAACAGGAGGAGGTGCATGAGCAGGAAAATGAGGGAGGAGGTGAATGAGGTGGGATGATGAGTGTGTATGTGTGAGGGGGTGGGTAGGGAATTATCGGGAGGATGAGAAGGAGGAGGACAAGGAGCTGCAGTAGGCAGATGAGGAGGAGGGGCATACAGGAAGAAGTCCCGTCCTGCGATCGGGCCACTCCCGCTCCCGGGTTGGCGGTCCTCCCACTTGATCGTTTCCTGGATCAGATGGCCCCATGATCTGCCCCTCTCGATCCCCTCACTTCCTCGCCAGGCTCGCTGCGCACGGCTGCTCCTTTGCTGCACCCTGCCGCGGCTCTCACGGAAGGACCACTTTGGGTTCAGGAGGGGCTCTGGTTGTCATACAGCTCCTCGCTCTTTGGCACCTTCCAGATCCTTCCAGAGTCGTCCAGGTTCTTCCGAGCTCTCCCAGACGCCATCAGGTTCTCGCAGAGTTCTGCGGGTCGTCCGACGAGCGCCCAAGCGTCAAGCGCGGGCAAGATCTTCAGGAGTGGCCAGAAAGGAAGGGCCGTTTCTTGCCCGGCGTTCCTGACGGCGGCGCGATGGCGGCAGGCCCCGCGGAACCCGCGTGCCCCCCGTCATGGGGTGCCTGTTCCACGCCTGCGCCTGCCCGTCTGCCGTTGCCATCTCGGGGCTCTCCGCGCTACCAGGGAGATTCCAGGAGGGGAAAAGACCGCACAGACACAATAATCGTCGACCCCCAGGGCACCAGGGGAACATTATGGGAAGTGGGGGAGAGGACGAACACCCAGGAAATATAGGAAACAATGCGGAATTCTAGGATTAGTGCTTATTCATTTGTGTGCCCCGCGGAGCCCCGGCCTCGCGACGTTCCGGGCCCCGTCGGTCCCGGGAGCCCTCGCGCGGCGACCGCGGCCGCGCGCGCGCACGAGCCACGGGGGGGGCCCGCTGGCGAGGTCGGCGTCGAGAGCGCGCCGACGCAGCGCGCCTGGGCGCTCTCACGCCGTTTCCCGCTGGCCCCCCTGCCGTCCCCCGCGTCCCCCGTCCCCTCGCGGTTTCCCCCCCCCCGCCCCCCCCCGCCCTCCGCTTTCGGAGGGGGTGTCCAGACGGGGGTTGCCCCCTCTCACACCGTCCCCCCTGCCCCGCCGTCCCTCCTTTCCCCCCCCCCCCCGCGGTTTCTCCTCTCCGCCTCCGCTTGGGTTGCCCCCCCCCCCCCCCCCCAGGCTGGGCGCGCGGTTGCCTTCCCCGTTTCCCCTACTCTCCTTTGCGCGCTCTGCTCGGCCAGAATGCCCAAGACGTCCCTCACGCCCCCCGAGCCAAGGGGCGGGGGCGCGAAGAAGCGTGCGTCGCGCGCCTCGACGCGCGAGGGGGGCCTGCCAGCAGAGATCCCATCCCTCCCGAACGTCTGTTTTGCGAGCACGGGAGGCTCAGCCACCCCGTCCGAGAAATGCCCGAGCGACGGCAGCGTGAGACCGAGCGCCCTGTCGCACCAAGGTCCTCGAGCGCAGCAGCCCTGGGGCGCGGCGCAGCCCGCCGGCGCTTGGCGCCGTGCGGGTCGGCGCCGACGGAGTTTTTGGCCGAGCGTCTTGGCCGGGAGGCCTTCGTGCGGGCGGCCGCCCTCCCGCAAGGGGCTCGCGAGGAGTGGAGGGGGAGGGGAGGGGGAGGGGAGGGGAGGAGAAGGGAGGAGGAGGGAGGAAGGGAGGAAGGGAGGAGGGGAGAGGGAGGAGGAGGAGGAGGAGGAGGAGGAGGAGGAGGAGGAGGAGGAGGAGGAGGAGGAGGAGGAAGAGGAGTAGGAAGAAGTGGGTGAGGACAAGGAGGGATGAGCAGGACTAGTGTAATATTAAGACGCATTAGCGATGCTGCAGTGATACCTCCCTCCCGGCTCCCTCGCCATAGGACCCTACAATAAGTTGTTATTAAGTGTGGGAAGTGCCTTAGAAGACAACCGTCGGAGAATCCTCAATCGTGCCCAACACAATGTTTGGGACTTCAGCGCCGCGAATCAACGTGATTGTTGCGCCCTGACAATCCCGAGTCGATCCAGAACACCATTCCTGGGACTTCAACTATGCGAATCCTACAAAATGTTGTAAACGTTTCAAACGAATGCGCGCGGCGCTCAGACGAGGGTCGCATTTTGAAAACGACCCCCCTCCATGCTTAGAGCTGTTGCAAGCTTTGACGACAAGTGCGCGCGGCGCATAGCCGAGATCCACATTTTGTGGCAATATTTCAATATGCATGTGCGTGGTTTAAAGGCGAGAGCCACATCTCAAAGACCAGCCGCCCTTCATCGTTGAAACTGTCGCAAACTTTTAAACCGAATGTGCTTGGCGCTAATGCAAGAGACAGATTTTGAAAACCAGCAGCCTTTCATCCTTGATGCTGTTGCAAATTTCAAGCTTCAGGAACATAAGTTGTGAGGAAGTCTCAGGCGAAACGCGCGGCCCGCCCTACCGACACGTCTGAGGGTGCGACAGGGGGGAGTTATTCACAAGGAAAAGGGATGGAGGAGGAGGAGGAGGATCAGGCGTAGGAGGAAGAGGCCTCCCCTTCGATGGGTGGAGAGATTGGCATCTCTTCGGCGGTGGAAGGCGGCGGAAGTAAAACGAGGGCCGCTCCGCCATCGGAAGTCGGAAGCCGATGGAAGCTCGGCGGAAGCAAAAGATGCGTCCCAAAAAGAGATGACATTTGTTTAGGTCCAGGGTTTCCAGAAGCCCGCCTTGTGTGAACCATTCCATCCTCGATCCACCTCCTCCTCCTCCTCCTCCTCCTCCTCCTCCTCTTCCTCCTGCTCCTCCTCGATGCCCCTCCAGTCCGAGCGTCACCTCGTAAGCCGCCTGGCCCGCCTTAGCCCGTGAGCAGGGGGAGCCCGCAGGGGGGAAAGGGGGTTGCCCGGAGCGCGCGCGCAGGCCAGGAAGGAGGTGCCCGAGGACCCGCGGGTGTCGGCGCTATTGTCGCCTCGCTCGCCGCCAGTGCTTGTCTCTTTTGCATCGCTGCTCCTGTAGGAAGCCAGGAGGGGCATGAGGAGAAGGGGGAGCAGAAGGAGGAGGAGGAGGAGGAGGAGGAGGAGGAGGAAGAGATGGAGAAGGAGGACGAGGAGGACGAGGAGGACGAGGACGAGGAGGTGGAAGAGGAGAGGAGGAGCAGAAGGAAGAGAAGGAGGAGGAAGAGGAATAATTGGAAGAGGAGGAGGAATAGAAGGAGGAGGAGGAGGAGGAGGAGGAAGAGGAATAAGAGGAGCAGAAGGAGCAGGCGCAACGAGGGAGAGGCGGATGTCATAGAAAGATGAGGAGCAGGAGGAGGAGAAGGAGGAGGAGAAGGTGGGCGAGGGCCACTTAGGAGTATGAGGAAAAGGAGGTGGAGTAAAAGGCGAAGGCTTGAGAGTACGAGGGGGAGGACATTTAGCCATGAGGGGAGGAGTGGGTGCATAATGGTGCTGGACTGGAACACACACATACACACACACACGTATTGCGCTGCCTTTCAGCAGGCGAGCCTGTCAGTTTGCCCCTGCGCAAGCCCCTGCTCCTTTGCAACAGTCCGCTCGCAACTGCAGACGCACGCGAGGCCGTTGTTCTCCGAGGAGGTCAGGGCGCAAGCACCTCGGCCAGGAAGGTGTCTTCGCTTCTGCCCTCGGCCAGCTTGCTCCGCCGCCACCCGAGTGGAAGGGCGACGGGAACGCGGCGCTTCCAGCGGCTCAATATCGAGTAGCACTGAAGCGTGCGGTGAAAGTTTCGCGGCGCTGCGAGGCCCTGGAAGACCTGAGCGTGCACAGCCTCACAGCGAAGGAGGACGAGGAGGAGGAGGAGGAGGAGGAGGAGGAGGAGGAGGAGGAGGAGAGGAGGAGGGAGGAGGAGGAGGGAGAGGAGGAGGAGGAGGAGGAGGAGGAGGGAGGAGGAGGAGGAGGAGGAGGAGGAGGAGGAGGAGGAGGAGGAGGAGGAGGAGGAGGAGGAGTGCACAGCCTCACAGCGCTGTGCTGCACTCCCCCAGAGACCAGCAGCGCGTGCGCCGCAGAGCGGCAGGCGGCTCGTGCCCGGACGGGCTCCGCCCCTCGGGTCGCGGGAGCAGCCCGCGTGAATCGCCCGGGGGGGGTTCACGGGTGCGAGGCAGCCCAGAGGTCGCAGGCCTAGAGGTTAACACCAACACCAAGATCGGCGGTGTGCGTCCACCGAGGGAAGAAGATCCCGATCTCGGTGATGGTGGTAATATTCTGGCTTCCAAGGTGACCGAAATATTACCGCCAACACCGAAATCTAGGATCATCTTTCCCATGTGGAGGCAACCCTCTGTTCTGGTGTTGGTGCCAATTTCCAGGCCTCCAAAGAGGGTGCCTCCAAGGACAAGGACATTGCACGACGCAGAGGGTTCTTGCGAATCATTTGTGGGAGGCCTGGACTCTCGCGAACTTTTCGCGGGAGGCCAGGACTCTCGCAAACTTTTCGCGGGAGGCCCGGACTCTCGCGGGAAAAAGGTTGCGGCAGGCGAGCCAAAGTCCGAAGCGAAGGGTGCAGCAGGAAGAGCGGGAGGCAGGGCAGCGAAGAAGCGCGTGGGGGGGAGGGAGGGCGGGGGCGAGGGGGGGGGGGCGAGCGGCCGGAGAGAGGGCGAGGAGAAGTGGCAGCCATGATGCGGGTTGCTGCCTCCGTGGTTGGGCTCGTGCACGTTGCCGTGCCAAGTCAGACCATCCCCCGCCACCCCCTCGAGCTTCCCCCGCCTCTTCAAGCGGAAGGGCAGCTCCCGCGCGGAGGGAGGACAATCGATGCGACGCAGGAGTGAAAACGGGCCGAGCGGAGCAGGTTTGGCGACTACGAGGAGCAGGAGGGAAGAAACGACGTGAATTTGCCTGTTGGGCGGGATGCGCGGGCAGCAGTCGTGAATGCACATGTACAGGCGAGAGCGTGATGGCGACAACGGAAGGTGTGCACAGTAGAAAAATGCAGGTGCGGAGATCGGTTCAGGAAGCAGGGAGGCCCCCGCTTCCACAGGAATGCGAGACATGACGGAGCACACACGTCGGAACCGCGTTTGTTCTGTATGTGGAGTTTGGTTGCACCGAGATTGGTGTCTTTGGTGTTCTTACTCTCACAGCTCGTCGTATCGAGGGCAAGTGCCAACAATTGGCCGGATTGTTCCGTCACGCTCGTTTTCTGATGTTGTGTTGCATCGGGGTAGTTGGCGGCGTCCAGATGGATCACCCGGTGTTTGAACAGCACTTGTCGACGCGAATGTTTAGACGATGACAAGTGTCAATCATTCTAATATTGTGGAGCATGGGCGCGTCTGTCGAGCGGAGGTCGCTGGCGAAGAGCACCGCCCAGAACAGCGCGACCAGGGGCAGCGACGCATTCGCGAAGGCCTCCGAAGCAATTTTCCAGCAGAAGCCAAGATGGCCATGGTCAAGCGACCCTTTGCAATTATGAGTAGCATCCCTTCCCGTGGGCCTCCGTGGCCCTTCCAGCCATACGCCGGCGGCCTCAAGATGATTCCGTGGACCCCACATAGTGAAACAGTGTAACACATGTTGTGCAGTGCAAAGCAATGTAATCATAATAGACATGGTGCAAAGCAGTGCAAGGCAAAGCGATGCAAGCGGCGCAAGGGAATGCACAGTTGCACAACACAGTACAGTGAAGTGCAAAGTAGTTTCAGCAACGCGATGAGAATAAAGGCAAAACGACATACGGCGCAACCGATGGCTCTCAATTCTGGGCACAATGGGACCCTGCGGCTGCAACCCACGGCTCAACTCATGACGCCCGAAAATATTTGGGGGCACCACTGGGTCTTCTGGTCCCAACCTATGGCGCAACCTGGCACAACAAATTCTTGAGCCACCATGCCCAGTACTTTACAAGAGAAGAAAGAGCCCATACGTGCGAAAAATAATTGTGACAAGGGATCGAATAAAATATGGAGTCTGGCTATGGTGCTGGCTTTCTGACCATGCCTTGTCGTGTTCGTTATGGCCGCGTCTTTCCTCTGAAAGGCAGGATCGGGAATACGTTTCTGAAAGTTATGGTGATGTGCTTTGTGACGATCGCAAGGTTACTTCTCAACGCAGTTGCCCCCGTGTCCGCGTTCTGTGCATTCTGCAAGCTTTAGAGCTGCTTGGCTGCATCAGCCGCATTTCAAGTGGCTCATCCCAGGGCCAACATGTTTTATTTTCTTTGCGGCTGCTCGGCTAGGTGTTGTCTGTGGTTGGGGCCGAATGCTCATGGCGTGCTTTCCCCCTCATGTTCTTCGTCATCATTGTACCCCTCCGCATTATTATATTACTCCCTCAGTCTCCCCCCTCCTCCGCTTACCCTCCACCATCCTCTCTCTGCTCTTCCTCCTTCTGATCCTAGTTTTCCTTCTTGTCATATCCTGCCTAAGTCCTGAGTGTCCTCTCCTCCCTCCCTCCTGGTTCTTTCGATCCCCCTTCTCCTCTTCCTCCTCCTCCTCCTCCTCCTCCTCCTTCTCCGTAGCCATGTTGGCTCAAGCCATTTTGGCTCAAACCATTTTGGCTCAAGTAAAACATTTCCCAAGGCAGCTGGCCGTTCAGCTCTGTTCCATTCCATATCTCACAGGACCGTCAGGGCTGCCCAGCCCACGGCTCCGCTCCATATCCGCAAGACGAAGCTCACCTTCGCACAATTACTAATTCGACTAATTCAATTGCAGGCATCTGGATTGGCTCTTCTCTCGCTTGGCATCGGACAGGCAATACGTGGCATAGTGCAGTACAACACTCCGCCTCCGCTTCATCTCGCAGTGACTCTAAGAGCAGAAGTCAGGCCAGTGGACACCGTCGGGATCGCCGCAGACATTCAGAAAGGCACGACAGGGACAGAGACCGCGACCGTGATCGACACCGCCGACGTGATAGGGATCGACGCCAACGTACTTCTTCGTCTGAAGGTTCACGCCCTCCGCACAAAGGACATAGTGGACGCTCTAAAGGCCCTCTCGAACGTGAAGCAAATGGCGCCCCTCGTGGATTTCATTCAGCAGCCACTCAAGACGCATGGTAGCGAGCAGCACTGGAAGAACTTGATGCAGCACCTACTTTCCCCTCTCAAGAACAAGCTCACTGGCAAGCTCACCAACACGCACAGCGATAACGACAAGCACGTGAACACCAAGAGGTTCAAGCCGCACGCGACGCCCACGAAGCCGCACAGCTTCCCGCCGCATCAGAAACCTCTCAACAACAATGGCTTGTTCAACACGCGGCTCGCGCAGCTCAGCAGCGCTCTCCTATTACTACAGCGCCCTCTACCACCGCAGCCAGCTCTGGACACACGGCACCAGCTGCAGCACCAGCTCATGCAGCTGAAGGCACCGCCACGCCAGCAGGCGGACCGTGGCCTCAATCAACGTTGGACCCAGACATTCAGCGCGAGCCCAAGCAGACCATGGCATCACAAGTGGCAGCAATCAATACCGCAGTTGGAGAAACCGTATCCGCCTCGCAAACGCAGTTCATTGCCGCTCTACAGCGACACGAAGCAGCTACTACTCGCAGATTGGACGGGCAAGAACAAGACCTCATGGCCATCAAGATTGCTCAAGCCAAACAAGAATCACAACATCAGGAAGTCTGGAGTGCCATCCAGCGTATCAATCAGCAGCTCAGCCTGGGCGAAGCCGACGCTCCCATCCTGGACATGGCCAAGCTCTCAGACTGGGATCGCGAGCCCGATCCCACCATCTACGTTCTCTCCTCCGCGCAGCCCGTCGACGCTGCCGCAGTTCGCACGTCCATCACAGAATGGTTGGATGCAGCAGAAGTGGCCCCGCAGCAGTTTCAGATTCACGGTGAAGGACCCAATCGGCGCTTCATACTTCTACTTCTGGGCGGCCGATCTGTCGCCATTTCCAAATCCGTTGCGCTCGCTCGTGCCCTTCAGCTTCCAGGACGCGGAGGTTACAGAAAGTTCACAGTTCAGACCCCCACCAACTGCGTCATCAATCACGGCCAGTACGTCCCGCTCTACGTCAACCCCGATAAGAACATCAAGGGCATCAGAATTGAAACTCAAACTAAAAAGCTACTCCCTCTTTGTCAGACCCACTACCCCACGCACAATTGGCGTGCGCGTCGTGATCAAGGACGTATTTTCTGCAATACCATCCCCACCGCCAAACTGGAGCTCACTTGCATGGGCGCGGCAACGGTCATTCGTTGGAATCAAGATGCGCTGGCCAAGGTTCCTATCAACAAAGCCACCATCGCTGCAGAATTTGCCGCTCTCTACAAAGCAGAGGACACAGTACAATGGCGTTAACAAACGCTGGTCTCCATGGAGAACTACGACCACAGACGGAGACCATGCCAGACCTCCTGGGCCTGATGCACCGCGAGGACATCGGCCTCATCCTCTTCAGCACCTTCGGCCAGCACCTGACCTCCAGCTTCCTTGCTCTGAAGATGCGCACGCTCCTCTTCATCCTGAATGTGCTCCACGGGAACCCAGACCAGATCTTCAGCATCATAGAGCACCAGCAGATCTACCTGCACCGCGACGACAGGCACACGGGGATTGGGGCGCCCCTGTTGTCTCCAAGGGACGGGAGAGCCATCCAGATGTTATTTCAGACTTCTCGGGCCTGTAGTGCCCACCAGATTCGCTTCTTCCGCAACATGATCTGCCTCATCCCGCGCAAGCTCTACTGCTTCCCGAACAAGATCACATTCTCAAAATAGATATGACTCAGAATGGCTCGGTTTCAACGTTCAGCTCATCTTCGGCTTCTTCGCCATCGTCCTCTTCTAGCGCTTCTTCATCCTCGTCGGACACCAGCTCATCATTCAACAACCGTCGGTCTCGGACTACTCGTACACGTACACGCCCTTCTACAGCTGATACGGCAGGCAGCTACATCTGTTGGAACGCTCGCGGGCTACTCTGTCATGATGATGCCAAGCGCTGGGGAAAGACACGGCAGCTCGTTCCCTTCATGCGCAAGCAGTCGCTCATCGCTCTCCAAGAGGTGCACAGCACACAGCTCGATCTCGAATCACACCTTGGCAAGCTTCCCTACGGCTATCAGGTCTTCTTCAGCGGCTTCCCTCACAACCGCGGCAAGGGCGGCATCGCCTTCTTAGTACCGACGCCATCGATGACGACGACCTCCACCTCACTTTGGCCAGTGATACGCGGGAGGGTTGCTGTCCTCCACGTGGCCAACCACACCACAGGCTTCGAAACGCTCATCATGAATGTGCACAATCACGACCTGCAGGCTACGGATATGGATAGAGTGACGGAAGCGTGGCATGCTTCCCGACAGTGGGCAGCGCAGAACCCTCAACAGCGGCTATTCATTGCCATGGGCGATTTCAACACCAGCGCGGTCCCCTCCTTTAACTTCAAGGATCCATCAGCACGTTGGCGGCCGATGGCACCTGATGGACAGTATCAGCGCGAACAAGCGCGTTGGCGCCAATTGTTCGCCTCGCTCACGGAAGTTACGCACGACCTGCCCACGCACTTCTCGGCCAACACACAAGCGGCTACTGCCATAGACCGCATCTTCGTGTCGCTGTCGGGCATCGATCTCATGAACGTTGACGCTCACCTCAAGATCCACAAAGACGGCGCTGCCTTATCAGATAGAGGCCTCAGTGACCACGCGATCCTGCACCTGCCGCTGGTCAACGCATCGGCGGCGCAGAAGGAGGAACAGGCCATTGATCCGCTCATCTTCCACGACCCCACGTACCAGCGCCACTTCAACTTCCTGAAGGACAACATCGCCTCGGCAGCTCTCACGCCGACTGGAGCCTGGAAGCAACGCAAGCTCATCATCAAAGAAGCGGCTCGCCTCACTCGTAATCTTCAACAGCGAGCCACCCTACATGATCAAAGCCGCTGGGCGAAGCATGGGAGGCTGACTTCACTACGCGCCATTGCTCGGACGGTTTGGCGAAAAGACTCAGACACGGCAGCACTCCTCATGGCCGCGACGGACATTGGCGCCGCTCACCTTCGCCTTGCCGACAATGGGCCCGAGCTCATCAACAGAGACGGGTACATCAAGCTTATGGACGCAGGTGTTACCGCAGACTATGACAGACGCGTCGCCATCGCCACGAAGCGCCAGCTGCAGTCCCACGCCGAGATGCAGATGGACCAGGCCGGCAGCCGCAAGGCCGCGATGCAGCTCATGCGCCGGGCGCAGGCCTGGAACCCATTTCGTCGTCGCCTCGTGTTTGCAGGACTTCGGATACCAAAAGAGGGGACACCCACCAATGCCCTCCCCACCACCAGCTCACCCGAGGGCATTTTCGGAGGTCTCCAGAAGTTCTGGCAGCCCATCTTCTCGAGCAAGACCGTGGACCCCAACGCGGTCCAGTCGTACTTGGCCCAGCACCTCCCCGTCTTCGATTGCGCGGACCTGCGGGTTCCAGCTCTTCAGGACTTTCAGAGAGCCCTACGTAAGGTACGTCACACTGCCCCAAGCCCTGACCAGATACCTTATGCTGCATGGGCTACCTCTCCAGGCTCCTCTCAGATCTTATATGACCTCATGATGCAGATGTTCGAAACAGGACTGGCCCCGTTTCAGTTCAACGATTCCGTCTTCGCGTTTCTTCCAAAAGGTGATGAGCCCCAGGACCAATATGCCGTATTTCGAGCTACTCGCCCCTCTCCCTAAAGAACTGCGACGCCAAACTGATTGCCCACGTCGTGAACGTGGGCTTAGTGGATATGGTCAAAGAGAGAACGGTAGACACGCAACAGGGGTTTGTAAAGGGCCGTAATTTCGGACAACACGTTCTGACGCTAGATTCTGAAGCCCGTAGAGCAGGCCATTCCCCAGCTGCCCTAGATGCCCTTCCCATCTTAGTCAGTTTCGATATCAAAGCTGCCTTCCCATCCTTAGGATGGGAATTCCTGTTTGCTTCTTTGGTGGCTCACGGAGTCCCCCCCAGGGTATCTCAATGTCATTCGTGCGCTTTACCATTCTCCAGGGGCGTGGGCCCGCGTCGGCGGCCAGCTTCAGTACATGTTCGAAATCGGCTCTGGGGTGCTTCAGGGCTGTCCTCTTTCAGGATCGATCTGGGCCCTTGCGTTTGATGCCCCCATCCGTCATCTCGTCCAGATTTTAAACCTTCTTCCTGGATCTAACAAGCTCGGGGCCTGCGCAGATGATCTGGGCCTTGTCCTCGCTCGCCTTGGGACCCTCCCTTTCCTCCTTCCCCCTTTTCGGGCCATTGCTACTCTCGCAGGACTCGAACTTCAGATTCAGAAGACAGTGATTGTGCCCTTGTGGGCCGCCTTCTCACCTGCCGTGCAATCTCTCACTCAGCGCTTGCTCAAATTTCTAGCCCCAGAGTGGCAGCACATTCAGATCTCCGAGTACGCCCGCTATTTCGGGGTACTCATCGGTCCCGCCGTCACTCTAGACATCCAGTGGAAGGCCGCATTTGATAAATACTGGCTACGGGTGGTGCAGCTTGCGGCGAGCGCGCCTGGCCCCTCAGTCGCCATCAAATTAAATAACGCATGTGTTATAACTGAGATATCGTATCTCACGCAATATTTCCCGTTCCCTGCCACATTTCTGCGGCATGAACGCAGCACGCTGCACAAAATTTTACGTGCACCCCCCAACTCCTGGCGCCTCGTCGACCTCCTCGGTAGTCGCTCGTGGTCGCCCTCGTCCTCCCCCAATTCACTGGTCACGCTTTCACTCGCAGCTGCCTGGCGCGCTGCCGCTGCCACGCTTCCCGACTGGAAGCCGCTGTATCGCGCACTCGCCTTGGCCCAGGACCAGCTCAATCCAGAACTGTCCCTGGCGGATTTGGGGCAGGCCCGTATTCGGGCCACGGTTTCGCTTGTGTTTTGGAAGAGTCCAGGTATCGTCGAATACTGGCGAGACCTCGCCGACGGTCAGCCGCCATACGCCGTCTCACTGCCCATCTGGCGCGCGGCACAGCGCGCCGCTGCAGATGAGCACGCCGCTGCCACCAACGAAGCGCGCCGCTCTAGGGTCCAGCGAACCCTTGCTTCGGTCCTCCACGCCTCCCTCTACCCCGACAAGTTCGCAGAGACCCTAGCGCGCCGCCTCTCGTCGGCTCTCCCAGAAGTCGTGCTCCCTCCAGCCCTGCCAACCCGCTGGAAGGAGCTATCAGAATACCTTTCAAAGAAAGCACCAGCCATCCGCTGGGCTGTCTTTAAAACGCTAGCGGGAGCGTGGTGGACCAGCCACCGATTCCCATTTGGACCGCGCCGCACGTGTCTGCTCGGGTGCGAAGCTTGCCCAGACCGTCTCGGCCACTACCTCACCTGTCCCCGCCTTCTGCACTTCCTCGCGTTACCTCGTTCCTTTCTCTCCTCGGACCCCCTCGTGCGAATTGGCCTAGGGACGTCAGAGCAACACGCAAACCCAGAGCACGCAGTTTCAGAAGCTGTTCGCAGGACAGCGCGTTCATTTCACTTCTACAACAAACTGCGTATCATTACGCACGCCGCGCCCCGCGCCGCGCTTCTTTACACTACAGGCACTGAGTGCCTAGCTGCTGCACTGCATGCGATGCGGCCATAGACGAGACAAGCGGACGCGCGGACACTTGCCCTCTTCTCGCGTCTTGCCCGCCTGCCCTCGTCTCGTCCTTTCTTGGTACGGTCGCTCCTCCTCCTCCTTCGCGTCCTCCTCAGGGTACCCGAACTCCTCCTCCTCCTTCTCCTCCTCCTCCTCCTCGTCATCATCATCGTCATCAGCATCATCATCATGATCAGCATCATCATGATCATCATCATCATCATCATCATCATCATCATCATCATCATCATCATCATCATCATCATCATCTTCATCTTCATCTTCCTCCTCCCTCAGCCTCCTCTTCCCCCTCCCCCTCCTCCGCAGTCGTCTTGTCCTCCTCAGCGGTGGCGCCTCACTGCCCACTGGCCGCCCTGGCCACCAGAACGATGGGGGCCCCGCCGCTGCTCGTCCAAACCCATCGCTGGGCCTGCCGGGGTGCCCCCTCCCGGCTGATGGGCGGGGCTCAAGACACGGGGGGCAATGCAAACGGGGGCCCCTCAGAGCGCGGGATCGACCCTGCAGGGCCAGCGTCGCACTGACCCGGGCTTGGGTGCAGGGTCCTGCAGAGGCCTGCAGAGGCCTGCAGGATCCTGCAAAGCCTGACTGACCTGGGTCTGGATTGACCCGGGCCAGCAGGTCCTCGACACGGAAAGTGGGGGGGGGGGCTGGCGTCCGCCACGGGCTCGACGCGATCCGTGCGACGGGCTGTGCTAGCCGGTGGAAGCAGAGAAGAGGGAGCCGGAGGAACAGGAACGGAGAGAGGGGCGAGGAGGAGCAGGAAGTCTGGGGAGGAAAGGGCGCCGATACCGCTGCTCATCCTGTAGTCGTCACGGCTGAATTCGCATCAACATTCTGGTCAGAAGCAGGTTAGGAGATGTCTGGGAGTAGCGGTATCGGTACCTTGTTATCCCCTTGAGAATGACGGAGGAAGGAGCAAAGAGGAGCAGGAATAATCATATATGCGGAGGGATGGAGGAGAGAGGAGGGAGCAGAGAGGTGCAGAAAGAAGAGAGTGTAGAATGAAGGAGGATGAGCGAGGAGGAGGAGCGAGGAGGATAACCGGCGCGCATACAGCCAGCCCTGATGCACCTTGTGTTTGCCGCCGCCAGGGAGCGTTGGCCGTCGTGCCCTGAAGTGGCAGGGGGGGGAGAAGGACCCAGAGGGCCCCACCAGACATCCCCAAAGTTTCAACCTCCACCTCGGATGTTCAGGAGAAGACGGAGAGGGAGGGGGTGGAGGGGGGTAGGACGAAGAGGAGGAGAGAGAGGGTGAGAACAACGAAGGCAACAAGAACTCATGAGGACAGTCGCTGCTGGAATGGGCAGCAGGGTCGCAGGTGGCGTGCGAGGTAGGTGTGATCGGCTCCCTCGGCGCAAGCGCAACAAGCCTGTTGGGTCTAGTCCGCGCGACGTCCTTACTGGGGCACCCGGTGATGTGTTCGCATGCGTTCTTTCAGGTCAGACCTTCCAAGCTCTTGTGGAGAAAGAGTCCTTTCATCACTGACCTGAAGCTTAACCTGACCCCTGGTATTCCTCATTATTCTTCCAGTCGCTGAGCCCAATTTCGGTCTGGCATCGGTGTTCCTGTACATTTGCTGACGTGTCCAGATGTGCCCACTCACAGGTCAACGCCGCCATCGATAACATGGTTGCCGACCTGACCGACCAGCAGAAGACGGACGCAAAGGAAAAAGACTACTGTGTCCAGGAGATCGCCCTCCCAGTGCCACTATTCTCTAGACATGGCCTTCACTAAGGCTGCCCTACCTGTCTGCTCAGCAATTGGGCCAGGTGGGAGGAGGAGGAGGAGGAGGAGGAAACGACGTCCAGCCAGGAAACGGTATGCCCCCCCCCTCCCCCCGGGCGCCCGCCCGTGCCCGCCGCGTGCCCGCCTCGTGCACGCGACGGTTGGTGCCGCGTACCTCGCACCCCGGAGTGCACGACAGAAAGTCTGCGGCTGCACCACACGGGCTGTGCTTCTGGAGGACGATCAATGGAGAGGAGGCATGTAGCCAAATAGTTTATGTTTAAAACATGGTTAAAACATTTCCCGACATTTAAAACAAAAGTTTTAAGTTCAGTGATAGGACTGTTAAGGTGTCCATTCTTGCAGCATCCACAACGATTGGTTTCACCACAGCGTGTATGGTTCACGCTGTTTGCGGCCGTCTTTGGCGCTCGCACAGCCTCGATTGCAGCCCGCGGCTGGCACCACACGGAGTGCGCATCGAGAGTGCAAGCAGCCTCTGTTCGGGGTCCACGCGGGCAAATATTGTCCAGCCTATTGAATGCAGGGAAACATGGAGGCGAGGACGATGCGAAGGAGGAGATGAATAAGATTATGAATTACACTGGCGGCAAAAAACACTAAATAGCATAGTGTAAGAGTGAAGATGGCATCATACTGTACTGTGCGCACGGGAGACCATACAGGAGACCACATGGGAGTCCCTGCGGGAGATTATGCGAGATACCGTGCGGGAGACCATGCGGGAGACGGGAGATCATACGGGATACCAACCAGGAAACCACACGGGAGACCATACGAGAGACCACGCGGCAGACCACACAAGAGACCATGCGGGAGAGCGTGCGGGAGACCATACAGGAGGCCACACGGGAGACCATGCGGGAGACCATACAGGAGACCATGCGGGAGACCATGCGGGAGACCGTACGGGAACGGGGGACCATGCCGGAGACCATGCGGGAGACTTTGCGGGAGGCGATGCGGGAGACCATTCGAGAGGCCATGCGGGAGAAGGGGCAGGAAACCACACTTGAGACCACACCAGAGACCACACAGGAGACGATGCGGGAGACCGTGCGGGAGACCGTCCGGGAGAACACACCGGAGACCATGCCGGAGATCATTCGGGAGACCCTCTTGGAGTACATGTGGGAGACCGTGCGAGAGACCGTGCGGGAGACCCTGCGAGAGACCCGACCGGAGACGACGCGGGAGACCACGGGCCAGCGATGCTGGCTCCAAAGAGAGGCTCACGCCCGTCCTTAGCAGCTCCGGGAGGCCATTCGGGAGACCATCGGGTCACCCCCTGGCCCCTCTTACGAACCATCAGTAGTAGCAGTGGTAGCCTTACAGTCACGTTGCGTGGGGAAGGATACAGGACGATATTATGGAGAACAGATTTACGATTGCGCCGCCCCCGCGTCATTGCGGATTAAAGGCCTTTCTTCTTTCGTGTAGCATCTGTTCAGCTGCAACACGAATTTGAGTCCATTCCTCAATCAGTACTTGCACTAAGATGTTCTGAATTAGACTCCAACGAATGAGTCCCGCGTGCCAGGATTTCCAGGAGTTAGCTGCCAAAGGGTCTGTCCATTAGGTCTTGTCCTCAGTTGCCCCCGAGTGCCGAGTTCTCCGAATCCTGTCCGCAGGGTCTCGTTCACAGGGTCTCGTCCAGAGTGCAGGATTCATCGGTAATTGGCCACATTGTCTTGCTCATACGGTGTCGCACGTGGGCCCCCCATTGTGCTGGTGCTCGAGTGCAGTGGGCACGAGTGTTGATAACAATCCTAGCCTTGGGGGGCACCCTTCTGCTCTTCGTGTTTGGGCTCTCCATCTTGGAATGCCCCCTGTTGTTGGGATGTCTCCGTGGGACCTTGGCCTTGGATGAAGGGGCTCGTCTGCATGAGCCATGTCCTTGTGGCCATGGTTCGACAGCAGTTGGTCACACAGAGGGTCCTGCACGTGTGGTCCCGCCCAGTGCGCCAGGCACGTTGGCACTGCGTAGCGTGGCAGGCTCTCCAGTCCTTGGCCACAGGGCCTCTCCCAGTGGGCCCCGCTTCTCCGGCAGTAGGCCAAACGGTCCGCCCTTGGGGCCCCGCATTGTGTGACAGTTTCCCCGGCAGTTGGCCAAAGGGTCCATCCCATTTGGTTTGGGCTTCATAGTTGTTCTTTTAGCCATTTCCAGTTCGGGGCCCACGCGCTGATATGAGTATGATAATCCAGTTGCGGGGCCGTGCACATCGGCCACCGTGGTTGAGGGAACCATCGCATCGTGACAACGCTGCAGAGCTGCATACCTGTAGCTGTGCACGGCTGTTGCGTTATTCTATTTGCTGTGGGCCTTTTGCGAGCCTCTTCGGGGTCTTTCGGGAGCCTCTTAGGGGTCTCTTTCGGGCCGATCGGTGGCTTCTTGGGGGATCGTCGGAGGTAGATGTGCCGCCTTAGGAGGACTGCAGGCCGTCTGGAGGGGTCATGGGCAACCTTCGGGGTGGTCAGGGCCGCTGGGGGAGTGGTGCGGGCCTGTCTTCGCCTGCTCTTGGGTTGTCTTCGTGCCGTTTGGGGCTGTGTTGGGCCGTCTTGGGGCCGTCTTGCGAGGTCCTCCAGGGCGTCTTGGGGTTTTGTGCAGCACTTCTTGGGCTATTGGGGTACTGCCTCTGGCAGCACTATGACCTTTCGCGTGCACATGCTTCGTGATCATTATTGGGCAAGTCGGGGCCGTCTCAGAACGTCTCGGTACCATCTCAGCCTTCAAGCCTTGAAGTCCGCCTGGGGGCGGAAGTGTAATCTTCCATGTTTCGCTGAAGAGCCAAGTGAATTGTGAGACTAGGTGTTGCAGCTTGACGAGTTGGCGACTGCTTCCACGCAGGTCTTAGATAACTTCTGGTCTATGAGCAATGGTTTCAGCAAATAGCTGCCCTCACTTGCCTCATCCCGCTTGCCACCGCACCTGCGCCGCCGCGCTGTGACCATCCTCGTCCTGCCTCTGCACCGAGAGGCCGTCTCAGTTTTGACGCTTGCCGATCCGCCACGCGAGCGCAAGCTTCTCGACCCTGTGCTGCGATCAGGGAGTCCCCATTCTGATCGCATGGGCGAGGGGTTCCCCAGCACGTTTGTCACCGACGGGTGACTTCACGCGAATCTGGGACGATCTTCGGGTGCTCGCTTCGTCCCCTCAGCTTTCGGTGGTTCAACGATGGGGTCCTGAGGGATAGGGTCCTAGGGATAGGGATCCAAGGGTGGATTTACATTGTTTGGGGCACCTCGTCCTTAAGACCCCATCCATCAGGACCCCATCTTTGAACCGCCGAAGCTTCCTCCTTTTTCCGCCCCAAAGAAATGTGCTGAACAGCCGTGAGCTGCAGAAGGCACCGACCGGAGGCGAGGCAAGGCTGGGCTCGGCAGCATCACGTCCGCGCTCGGCACCTCTTGGGTGTGCGTGCCGCCGCAGGCGGCGAGCATGGGCTGATCACGGGGGGTGCCTTCTCGCCCCTGGAGGTTGCAGCACCGCTGAGCGATGGCAACCACACCTGCAGCGTGGGCCCTGTCCGTGTCTCCGCGCACGTCAGCTCGGGCTTCGGCTGCGGCTGCGGGTGCATTGCGAAGCGCCCTCGGGCCAGCTCGCCCGAGCCAGTTGTCCGCTCACATGGGCGCGCCTGCCTCTTGCACTCCTCGTCCCCCGCCCCTCCTCCCCCTCCCCTCGTGCCTTCCCACTCATGCATGGGCGTGGCCCGCCGCGAGAGCCGTCGTGGGCGGGCTGAGGGGCTCCGCGCGGGGCGGTGCGGATCGTGCGCCACGCAGCTTCGGTGCGCAGGAGAAAAAGTCCCGCACACCGAATTTGCGGAGGCTCGTTCGTGCACCGCTCTTGCTTTATCTTGCTTTGGCTTCGGTTTCAGGCGCAGCATGATCTTGAAGGGCCACAGCTGCAGCGGAAGCTCCATCTAAAAGTGTAATGTGGCATTGGCGCTGAGATTGTCTCTGGTAAAACGGGTGGTATGAGGATGGCGGAAGCGTGTTGCCGTGCGGACCCACTCCGCCGCGATTCGTACTTGCGATCAGCGGCGGCAGTTGAATTTTCAGATGCCAAAAAGTGAGCTGGATTGTGTGATTATTTCAAGTAGTCGCGCGCCGCCAATCCTCGCGGGGACGCGCGCGCGCGGACAGGAGATGGCCGTCAACGAGCGCGAGACCTCGAAGAATCAACACAAAATGGAGGTTGGCCGCGCAGGGGGGGTGGCCTCGTGGCGCGCCACGATAAGGTGCACGTGCGGTCTTCCAGAGAGATTGCAAAGGCCTTACGGCCGGTGTCGCCGACCCTGAAGGGAGGTGGAGGAGGGAGGAGGAGGAGGAGGAGGAGGAGGAGGAGGAGGAGGAGGAGGACAACGGCGACGACGACGACGCAGACGCCGACGCCGACGTCGACGTCGACGCAGACGCCGACGCCGACGCCGCCGCCGACGACGACGACGATGCTGACGCTCTGGAGCCGAAAGCTTCTCATAGGGAGGGGGGCCCCCTCCTGGGGGGGGGGCCACAACCCCAGGCTGGCCGCGCGGGGGGGGCCTCGTTGCGTGTCACGACAAGTGCACGTGCGGTCTTAGAGAGGGATCCTCGCGATGGTACGAGGATCGATGATTTATGCGTTATGCCATTGGGGAGTCTCCTACAGCCTCGAAATCACACGCAAGTTTTTATCACCCCCCCTCGCCCCCCGAATTTGAATGGTGATCGACGCGCACAACGCGGCCCGCGGGGACCTCCCTCAAAAGAGCAGTCGCCAGTTTCGGCGCGAACGTGAAGTCGGGCCTGTCCCTCTGCAGGGGGAATATTCAAAAACAGTCAAAAAATAGTCAGGGGACGATTTGTCTACTATCTTTGATCAGTTGGGGTATTTTTTGAGCATCTTTATTTGTTCGTCCAAGATCCCCCTGTAGGGGGACATGCCCGACCTAACGCGAACGTCGAAATCGGGGGTCCGGGGGCGCCGCCACGCCACAGGACAAAAAAACTTGCATGTGCTCTCGAGGAGGGCTGCCCGGGGGGCCCCCGTGGCCACGACCGGGACGCGCCTCGGAGGAGTTGCCAGGCTGGCCCCGTGAAGGGCCCAGGGATGGATGCTGAGAGGATCTTTTCTTCGCGACCCTATTTCTTCCTTCACAGCCGAGGCAATCGCTCTGGACGAAGCTGTCCAAGCAGTGATGGCCATCACTACTGCCATTTCCAACCGGCCGTCATCACTGGGACCCAGGCCTAGAGAAAGAAAGAAAGAGGATTTTGGCCGAGGCCCTTCTGGATCACCCGCCGGGGCGCGAGCATAGCCGCACCTGGCGCGTCGCGGCCTGGGCCAAGGGGGCCGTTTTTCTCCAGAGTGGTCGCGCGAGGGTGCGAAGACTGCCACGCGAGACGAAGGCAGTAGCAGAGCGGAAGGGAACGATGACGGCAAGGAAGTGGAGGGTTACCAGGGGGCGAGGAGGAGGGAGGACAGTTCAAACACAGCTGCTAGCAGGAGGTGTGTGTGTGTCTGTGTATATGAGGGAGGTAGGGAGGCAGCGAGGGAGCAAGGGCGGTACCAACTGGAACAGGAAGGGAGTTGCGCTCGGATCAGGAGGAGAAAGAGGAATACGTGTGAACCCCCACGGGCCTCCCACCTTTCCACACTGCTGCCGCCACGAGCTATGGCCCCCCCCTCCCCATCTCCTCCTGGAGGTCATGATCCTTTCCTACCCCTCCTCCCCTCGTCTGCTTGTCGTCCATTTAAACTTCTACCGCACCGCCGGTGGCCCCTGGAGCGTTGCTCCGGGGGTCACCTGGCCCTAGTGTGATCACCCCCCCCAGGGCCGACCGGCCTTGGGGCGGGAGGCTTCGTCTGTACGACCATGCAGCCACCAGGAAGCAGAAACCAGGTGTGAACCCCCACGAGCAGTGAAGGCAGATTACAGTCGTTGCGCTGAAGAAGGAACCCTTTTCGTTGTGGAGGGGCTCCGTGTTCCTTAATTGTTTCACAGCTTGCCTCAGGGTTTCCTTATGTTTTCGATGGGAAATCGAAGTTTAACTTATAGAACAAAGGGGCCTCGTTCCTTATTTAGGGTTCCTTAGGTCAACGCCCCGACTGTTTGCACCTCGCATGATCTGGCAGGTGTCCAGGCACCTGGTGCATTTCTGCAAAGGGAGCTCGAGGATTACCGCCTGAGCACAAAGGCTTTACACTTGTTGAAGGAATGCTCAACGTTGCAACTCCAACTGGAAAGGCGCTTGTACTGCTTGAAGTCAGCTGGCGGGCTAGGCGGCGTATTAGGAAGAGCGGTAGTATTTGCTGTTTTGTCCCCTTGTCGGCCGCACCACGTGGGCGGATGTGGCCTCTCCTCTTCCTTCTCTTGGTTCCCATTCTTCCTTCCTCGCGCTGATCCCCCCTCTCCTGCTCCTCCTCCTCCTCCTACTGCTCCCTCCTCCACCCTCCTCATCATCCCTCCTCACTCCTTCCCTTCTCCTCCGTTCTCCTCCATTCTCCCCCCAGCCCCTGTCTTACCCATCCTCTCCTCATCCATCGACCATGTTCAATCCCTCTTCCCGTCTCCTCCCTCTCCCGTCCTCCGGCTCCTCATCCGCTGCTTCTTCTACCCCATTAATTTTCATCGCTGTTTCCGCACATTGGCGAGCGCGAGAGACAGGTGGAGGACAGGCTGCGGAGGGAGGGGACAGACGTGGAAGGTTCGGGACGAGAGGCAGACGGATGTCGATGATGATGATGATGATGATGATGATGATGATGATGAGGAGGAGGAGGAGGAGGAGGAGGAGGAGGATGGTGGTGGTGGTGGTTAAGACGATGATGATGATGTTGATGATGATGATGATGTTGCTGCTGATGATGACGACGATAATGATTATGATGTTGATGATGATGCTGACGACGATGATGATTATGATGATGGTGACGGTGATGATGACGATGACGATGACGATGACGATGACGATGGTGATGATGATAATGATGATTATGATGATTCAGATGATGATGATGATGATGGTGTTGATGATGCTGATGCTGCTGATGATGATGATGATGATGATGATGATGATGATGATGATGATGGTGCTGATGATGTGGATGCTGATGCTGATGATGCTGCTGATGATGACGATGATGGTGCTGCTGATGATGAGGAGGAGGATGTTGAGGATGAGGATGAGGATAAGGACGAGGAGGAGGAGGAGGCGGAGGAGGTGCAGGACATTCACAAGGACGCGGAGGAGGAGGAGGACGAGGAGGAGGAGGAGGAAGAGGAAGAGGAGAAATGAGGAGGAGGAGGAGGAAGAGGAGCAGCAGCAGGAGGAGAAGGACGTGCAGACGCGGCAAGAGGAAGAACAGGGGGAGGGGGAGGAGAAGGCGGCAAGGGGAGGGGGAAGAGAGGAGGAGGAGGAGGAGGAGGAGGAGGAGGAGGAGGAGGAGGAGGAGGAGGGGGAGGAGGAGGGGGGGGAGGGGGAGGATGTGGAGTGAGGAATGGTGAGGAGGAGGAGGACGAGGAGGAGGAGGAGGAGGTGATGGAGGTGGATGAAGTGGAGGACGAGGAACAGCAGCAGCAGGATCGTGAGGATTAAGAGAGAAGGGTGAGAAGGAGGATTGGGATGAGTGTGAAGGCGGGCGGCAACGGGGGACAGCTAATAAGGAGAGGATTATCATTATGATGAGGATGATCATGATGATGATGATGATGGTGATGATGATGATGATGATGATGATGATGATGATGACGATGACGATGATGGTGACGATGGCGATAGTAGTGATAGTGATGATGATGATGATTATGATGATGGTGACGATGATGGTGATGGTGATGGTGATGATGATGATGATGATGATGATGATGATGATGATGATGATGATGATGATGATGATGATGATGGTGATGATGATGATGATGATGATGATGATGATGATGATGATGATGATGATGATGATTATGGTGGTGATGGTGATGGTGATGGTGATGGTGATGATAGTGATGGTGGTGATGGTGATGATGCTGATGACGTTGATGAGGATGACACGTACATAGCGGGCCATAGACAGCGTCGTGAGGCTTCTAATGACTTCAGTCTTGCTTGCGTGCACTACGGCACGCAGCCGTCGCCTCGGAAGCAGCCGTAGCAGACACATCATGCGTGGAGCAAGGCCGCACGGCAGCGCGTCGCACGATGTTGCGCGTGGTCGAGCAGCCGGCGGTGCGAAGCGATGATGTTGCAGCTGATGACGATGATGAGAATGCTGATGATGCTGCTGGTGATGATGATGCTTATGACGATGACGATGCTGCTGAGGCTTATGATGCTGATGGTGGTGGTGATGATGCTGCTGCTGGTGATGATGATGGTAATGATGGTGAGGCTGCTGATGACGATGCTGATGCTGATGCTGACGATGATGCTGCTGATGATGCTGACGCTGATGACGATGATGCTGATGCTGATAATGCTGCTGATGATGCTGATGATGATGATGGCAATTATAATGATGATGGTGGTGATGATGATGATGATGATGATGATGATGATGATGATGACGAGGATGATGCTGATGCTGATGATGATGATGAGGAGGAGGAGGAGGAGGAGGAGGAGGAGGAGGAGGAGGAGAGGGAGGATATGGGAGGATGCGCGAAGAAATAGGATGCAGGAGTGAGCAGCCAAAAGTGAGGCGACATGATAGGGGGGTGGATGGGGAGGGAACGTGATGACTCAGGCGAAAGGGGTGATGGTATGAATATTGATGAGGAGGAAAGGCTGGAGACGGGGGGGGGCAATGGAGGAAGAGGACGGAGGGAAGTAATGCTGGTGGTGATGATGGTGATGGTGGTGGTGATGGTGGTGATGATGATGCTGATGATGTTGATGATGCTGATGGTGATGATGATGATGATGATGATGCTGCTGCTGATGATGATGATGATGATGGTGGTGACGCTGATGATGATGATGATGATGATGATGATGATGATGATGATGATGATGATGATGATGATGATGATAATGATGGTGATCATGATGAGTATGATGATGTTGATGATGATGATGATCATGCCGATGAAGGGGACGAATCTACGGAGGACAAGGGGAGGACGAGGATGTGAATGAGGGGGGATATATGATGCGGCGATGATTGTGAGGAGGATGGGGAGGATGAGGATGATGATGATGAGGAGGAGGAGGAGGAGGAGGAGGAGGAGGGACCAGCGTTACTCCCGCAGGTGCGAATTGCGTGGGCAGCAACTGTTGGTTACGTAGCTGTATCCCGTTGCCATGCTCCCATCATCAATCTCCCCCCTTGCCGTCTTGGCTCCCTCCCTCCCTTCCCCCTCCACTCCACATCCGTTCCTTTTGCGATCCTTGCGCAGAACCTGCAAGCACTCGTCGGTGATCTCACGAGGGCGATCGAGCAGCTCTCCAAGGAGATCGACGCCAGGAAGAAGGACGGCGGGTGATGATGATGATGGTGATGATGAGGAGCAGGAGGAGGAGGAGGTGGGGAGATGGAGAATACGACTAATCACGAACAGGACGGGGATAATCCACAACGACGGCGAAGAGTCACCAGGGCAGAGGGCAGAGAGGGAAAACGAAGAGGAGGAAGATGATGAGGTGCGGGTGGAAGACGGCGAGATTAGCGCCAGGAGGACTGACGGCCGAGGGCGACGAGGATGTTGTTGCTGCAGAGGAGGAGGAGGAGGAGGAGGAGGAGGAGGAGGAGGAGGAGGACGACAGCGACGATGTCGACGACGGATTAGTCGACGCCAGGAAGAAGTGATAAGAAGAAGGAGGAAGAGGAGGACGACGACGAGGAGAAGAACAATGATGAGGACGACGATGATGACGACGACGACGACGACGTCGACGACGACGACGACGACGACGACGACGACGACGACGACGACTGCGACCGCGACGGCAGCGGCGACGACGACGGCGACGGCGACCGCGACGACGACGACGACGACGCCGACGACGACGACGACGACGACGACGACGACGACGACGACAACGACTGCGACCGCGACGGCAACGGCGACGGCGACACTGGGATCGACCACGGGAGGAAGGACGGCACGGGAGGCAGGACGGCGCCCCCCCCCCCCCCCCCCGACCTTGGCGCCCTTGTTGGCGCAGGGAGGGCGCGCAGTGGTAGTGTTGTTCGAGGCCGTGGGGCCACATCGTGCCTCTCCCCCTACCTCCTCCTATTTCTCCTCCTACTCGTCCTTTTGATTGTGTATTGTTGATTTGCCAGGTAGGATGAGCCGTTCCGGCTTTGGGCGCTATTTGCCAGCTAGATGACAAAGTAAGAGCGTAGATCAGAAAGGCATCATGATGCGGAGATTGAGAGGGATTAGGGCGGAGGAGGAGAAGGAGGTCGAAGAGGAAGAGGAGGAAGAGGAGGAGCAGGATGAAGGAGAGGATGAGGAGGATGGGGAGGGTGGAGAGGGAGGAAGGTGGCGGACCTGGAGGACGTCGGGGGGAGGGAGGGGAAAGAACATAAAAAGGTTGAGGAGAGGGCGGAGGAAGAGGAGAAGGGAGACATCGAGCACCGTAAGGCGGTGTCACATGCTGTCGTCGTGACGCGTGACGGGGGTGGTATCAGTGAAGGTGTGCTCGGCGGGGCACCGAATAATCATGGTGACGCGCGCACCTTGGTGGCAACCTGCAGTGGCCAAGTCGACCTTTTAAGAGAGTGAACTAGGCGGGTATCAGGTTAGCTCGCGCGTGGGCAGGTGAACGGAGGAAGGCGAGGGCAGGACATCACTGAGATGCAGAAGGAGATGAAGAAGGCGTCCGAGATACGAGAGGCTTTGCTACTCGCCCCTCCACTGTCCATCCAGACCTAGTGGTGCATCATTGTGTAGCCTCACTCGCGCTGTGCTGAGAGGACCCGTGACGGCAATGCTTCAGTGAGCATTACATAGTTTGCACTTGCAACAGGCCTTACGTATTTTGACTCTGGCAGAGTCGACAGAGGCACCGCCGCCAGTTTGAGTCCCAGCTGTATCTGCCCTCTTCCTCTGAGGGCTCGCTTTTTGCGCCTCCACTTCGCGTCGTCTGATCATACGGGAGGTCGCTGGAAGGACCTTCCGCGAAACACGATGGACCCTTTTGCGACCTCGGGCTCCGCCGGCAGAAGAGGATTCACGTGGCTTCCTGGGGGCAGGGACGGGCGCCGGGCATGCTCTGTACTCCAGGGGTGGAGGCTGAGATTGAGGAGGGAGAGGAGGAGGAGGAGGAGGAGGAGGAGGAGGAGGAGGAGGAGGAGGAGGAGGACTCGTGGCTCGCCTGCTCTCTTTGGTCCTCTCGATCGGGTCTCCCTGCCTGGGCCTCCGTGGCCGCGTGCGTCTGCCCGGGGTCTCGCTGTCCGCAGGCCGAGGCCGCGGACTTCCACGCCACGATCGTCGACCAGCAGCTCACCCAGGCGACGGCTAGGGTTCAGTCGGGCCTGTCCCCCTACAGGGGGAATGTTCAAAAATAGTCAAAAAATAGTATGGGGACGATCTGTATCAGTATTGTAGTGGCCTCTTCGGCCAGTGCCGCCGATCCGGGTCGCTCGGTGTTGTTCTCCAGACGCAGACATTATGGGCGCACACTCAAACGCACAAACTTCTCGGGTTACCTTCGAAAGGGCGTAGGAATGCAGTTGGGTCAATAGAGCCATCTCGCAACAGTAGTTCTATCAACGGCGGGGTGCTTGCAGTGACCGTGGGGACGGGAAATAATAATGACATGAAAATTCCATACAGGATGCCGATCACTTTGGAAACTCACGATACGTCGTGCACGGAGTCGTGTTACGAAACATGTGATCTAACATGTGGCCTGGACGATGTGGTGCGAGCGGTGGAGGCGAGCCTATCGGCGCAAGGACGCCCTCTTGGGGCGTTTTTTGAGCCATCTTAGGAGCCTGTCAGGGCGTCATGGGGGCTTCTTGGGGTCTTTCGGAGGCCCTCTTGGAGGCTCTTGGGGCCTCCTGGGGGCCTCGTGGGCTGGAAGGCTAGATTTTTTCGGCTTTTCGTCCCTTTTTGGGGGTCCTCTTGGGGCCGTCTTGGGGGCCTGTTGGGCCGTCTTGGGCGGCTCTCGGGCCGCCTTGGGGCCCTCTTGGGCCGTCTTGGGACTGTCTGGGGGCCTCCTGGGCCGTCTTCGAGCGGTCTTGGGGGCCTCTTGGGCCGTCTTGGAGCGTCGGAAAGCCGAAAAAAGCGACAACCCCCAAAACATTGAAAAAACCAATGGGAATCAACGAGTTTTGCCTCTGGGGGCCATCGTGGGAGGCCTCTTGGAGGCCTCTTCAGACGTGGTGGAAGGCTCTTGGGCCGTCGTGGGGCCATCTTGGGCGTGTTCGGGCGATCCTTCGGGGTCTCGGGACGATTCGTATTAGTATTTTTGCCCATTTGGGGGGTATTCTTTGAGTACTTCGAATTTTTCGCCCAAAATCCCACTGTAGAGGGACAGGCCCGACCTAAGGCTACGGTCTACCCGTAGAAAACCGGTTGCGTATGCATGTCGCGACTCTGTCTTCCAAGAAATTGAAAGTGCTTCCTTCACGGGCGTCCTGGGATTGCTCTGCGGCCGATCCTTCCCGCAACCGAGGCCTCCCCATATCACGCACGGACATCGATCCGTTCGGCACACGGTGAGCGATGGCGGGTCTGTGGTGCATCTTTCGTATCGATTAGAGCGCTCACGTGCGTTGCTCGGTGGACTTGTGCGTGCTGCCTGTCCTGTTTTCGGCGTGCCCCCAGGGTGTGGCACTTGCTACACTGCCGTGGCGCTGACCGATCGGACTCGCCATTTCATCATCATGCGAGTGGCTGTTGGAGGCGGCTGGGCGGGAGGGGCCGCAGGGGGTCCAGAGTGAAGGCCCCACGGCCCCACGGATGGAGGCAGCGGAGGGACCTTCCTCCCCTCTCTGCCCCCCCCCCCCCACACACACACCACACATACACACACGCACGCACGCACGCATACACATACACATACACATACACACACATACACATACACATACACATACACATACACATACACATACACAAACACATATCCATACCCATACCCATACCCATACCCATACCCATACCCATACCCATACACATACACACACATACACATACACATACACATACACATACACATACACATACACACACATACACATACACGCGCACGCACGCACGCACGCACGCACGCACGCACGCACGCGCGCACACGCACGCACGCACGCACGCACGCACGCACGCACTCACGCGCGCACACGCACGCACGCACGCACGCACGCACGCGCGCGCGCGCGGGCGGGCCCGCAGGCTTACCGAAGACAGCTCTGGTGAGTCCTCGCCGCCCCTCGTGGCCGAAAGGCGGGCCTCCTCTTGGGGACCGCTTGCGCGTACTGGTGTTTGGGGGCCCTCGTGGGCTGGTCTTGGTTTGGGCCGTCTTGGGGCCCTCCCAGGCTCTCTCGGGCGGTCTTGTCGGCCTCCTTGGGCGTCCTGGGGCGCGATTCGGCTGCCTTGGGGCTCTCTTGCGTTGTCTTGGGTTGTCTTGGAACCACTTTGGGGGCCGTCCTGGGCCGTCTCGGGGCCATCTTGGGGTCCTCTTGGAGCCCCTGGGGACCCTCCTCGGGCTCTCCAGGAATCTTTTGGAACCACACTGTGCCGAATACATGGAAGCCAACACAGATGGGAAATCCGGCCAGAGGAGCTACTAATTTGAGAGAGTTCGTCTTGCGAGCTCACGTCATCCTGAACCCCGGCGCGCGAGGGAAGGGGCCCGCCAACCGCCCCCCCCCTGAAAGCTTCCAGGAAATCCGGGGATTCCGGGACATCCGGCGACGAATTCCAAACCGGCACCCTCGCGTGGGACATCCTCGGGGAGATTTCGCGGTTTTCCTCAGTTTGGGTTTTTCCTCGGTTTGGGTTTTTCCTCGGTTTGGGTTTTTCCTCGGTTTGGGTTTTCCTTCGGTTTGGGTTTTTCCTCGGTTTGGGTTTTTCCTCGGTTAGAGGGGGTCTCCCAAGGAGGCCCTCAGAGGCTCCCCTGTTCCGTTTCCGGGAGTTCTGGGAAATCCTGCGACGCATTCCAAGCCGGCGCGCTCGCGTGGGACATCCTCGGAAAACCGGCCCCCCGAGCCTCGCGCGCTGGGGCGCACCGGGCGTGTCCCAGTCCAGGGCTCTCGCTGGGGACATCCTCCCGGAGTCGACCCCGGGTGCGTGAGGAAGCCCGGCAGCGCTGGGCGTGTCCCCGTCGGGGGTTTTCGCTCGAGACATTCTCCCGAAGTCGGCCCCCGCCGTGCGAGAAAGTCAGGCCCCACCGCGCCCCCAGGGACCAATTTCTGGGGGGGCAACGGTAGGGGGGGATAGGCATAGGGGGGGAGCATCGACCCCCAACCGCCCCTTGATCGCCGACGGGGGCCCGATAGTTTTTCCATGCCCAGGAAGGTGCGGACTCACGATCGGAGGCCTATCGCCGATCTATCGGCGACGTATCGCCGATTCCAGGTCGATGCATCCCCCCCTATGCCAGTCCCCCCCTACCGTTGCCCCTCAGATCTGCTGGCTCGCGCTGGCGCGCGTTGGGGCGCGCCAGGCGTGTCTCATTCCGCGGCTCTCGCTCGGGACACCCTCGCAGAAGTGTTCCCGGGCGTGTCCTCCCATCTGGGGCTCCCGCTCGCTCACGCGCACACGCCCAGCGGGCGCAGTCCTCACCCGCCGCACCACCGCCTCCCACTCATTCTCCTCTCGCCCACAAGGTCACGCCAATTTTTCTATCTACGAAGCTCCCGATTAACTGCAGAGCGGCCGGCTAGTATGTGTTTCATACGTGTCTGCGATGTGGGTCGTTTGGGGTTTCGTTGGGGTTCCATTGTGGCGTCTCAAGCCGTCTCGGAGGTGCATCGTGGGGCCTTGTTCGGCTGTCTTGGTCCCCTCTTGGCGCCGTCTTGGCTTTGGGCCCTCTGGGATTGCAGTGGGGCAGCATTTGGGCTATGTCAGGGCCTCTGGGGTGCCATCCTTGGGGTCTCTGGGGGGCATCTGGGCGCCGTCTTGGGGCCGTGTTGGGCCACCTCGGGTCAATGTTAGACAGCGTTGGGGCTACATTGGGGCCTCCAGCCGCTTTCTCGAAGCCATAGTGTGACTTCTTTGGGACAGAGTAGGCGACGTGAAACAAGGCACTGAAGCGCAAAAATGTCAATGTCTCATGGGCTTTCGAGCATTTTCGAGCCTGTCTTGGGGCCTTGTTCGTGAACCCTTGGAGTCCTCTTGGGCCGTCTTGGGCTCTTAGGGCCCTCTTCGCGGCCGGCCGCGACCCTCATGCGGGCATGGTGAGCCTTGTTGTGCGTCCGATAGCACCCCCAGGAGATTTTCGGGACCTCCTGGTGCGGCCAGGGGGTTCAGATTACGACCCTTGGGCGGCTGTTTGGCGCCGCGGGCTCCTCTGTCAACAGCAAAAAACAGCAGGCAGGACAGAAAGGGGACAAGACAGGAGGAGCAGGAGACAGAAGACAAGCACGACGGAGAAGCAAAAGCCCAGCAGCACAAAAGTCCAGTAGCGACATTCGTAGCCTGGTGCCGCCCAGATGGGGCGTGGGGAGGAACGTGCAACTGCTGGCTTGGGAGTGGCTCGGCCTCTTGCCAAAGCCTCGCTATGGTGGGCCCCCCCTGCCCGTCCGTGCAAGGCGATCCTGAGGAAGGCGCTGGACCGCATGTCGAAGGCCACGTCGGCGGCGGCACCTTTGCTCGGGGAGCGCCGCACGAGGGGGATCTTGGCACCCGCCGCCCGACCGTCTCGGAACCTGCCATCCTGACCTTCTGGGGGTCATGTTGTGGGCCCTCAGACCAGAGGCGTCCGCCTGATTGAGGTACTTGCTCTGGACGTGCCCTTCTTCAACGCTCCCGTTCGGCGACCCCCCCCCCCCACACACACACACACAACACACACACACACACACACACACACACACACACACACACACACACACACACACACACACACACACACACACACACACACACACACACACATACACACACACAACACACACACACACACACACACACACACACACACACACACACACACACACACACACACACACACACACACACAACACACACACACACACACACACACACACACACACACACACACACACCACACACCACACACCACACACCACACACCACACACCACACACCACACACACACCACACACCACACACCACACACCACACACCACACACCACACAACACACAACACACAACACACAACACACAACACACAACACACAGCACACAGCACACAGCACACAGCACACAGCACACAACACACAACAGACAACACACAACACACAACACACAACACACAACACACACAACACACAGCACACAGCACACAGCACACAACACACAACACACAACACACAACACACAACACACAACACACACACAACACACAACACACAACACACAACACACAACACACAACACACAACACACAACACACAACACACAACACACAACACACAACACACACACACACGCTTGGCCCATGGCCCGGCTCAGCGGCGAAGGCCGCTTTGGCGGAGTGCTCTTCCGCGGACAGTGGGGGGCGCGGGGCGCCTCTCTGGGCCTGACCTTGGCAGCCCCGGGCCTGGCGCGGGTGCTGCCACGTGCCCCGTCGAGAGCTCCCCCCGCGGGGGGGCAGCACCTCCGGCACTCGGTGCGGGTGTGGCCGCGTGCCCGGCCGAGATCAGATCTCCCGAGTTGCTCGCATCCGATGCTGTACACAGCCTGCACTGGCTGTGGCACCACTCGCGCGGAGCGGGGTGCACGGCTTCGCCGCAGGCCTTGGGCATGGAGCGAGATATTTTGGCTCCCGGAAGATGGCTAGGCTCGCAGAGGCCAGTTCGACCTCCGAGGGCAGAGAAGGAGGAGGAGGAGGAGGAGGAGGAAACCGCAGCTCGCCTCGTCAGCCTCTCCTGGGGACCACGAGGCTCAGAACCGACTCGGGGGGTGAGGTGGCCCGTCACTGGCCCGAGCCAGCAAAGGGGGATGCGACCAGTTGCATACAAGTTTCGGCCCCCCCTCTCCCTCCCCTCTGGGCACCCGTCTTTGGATCGGTCTTGCGTCTTACGTGCCGGATTTTTCCCTACCCCCCAACCACCTTTCCCGATGCCCGTGCAACGCAGTGATCCCGACCGCCTCCAGGAAGTGGCTTCTCGTCTTCGTCCTCCTCACCATCCCATTCCCTCTCTTCCAACTTCCCCTCGTTCCTCTCTCCTCCAACCCTTCCCTCATCCTCCTTCTCCTGCTCCTCCTCATCCTCCTTCTCCTCGTGCTCCTCCCCCATTCCTCTTCCTCATGAATAAGTTGCCCCTGTCGCACCCCGAGGCTGGTCGAAAGAGCGGGCCGGCCCTTTCGCCTGAGACTTCCTCCCAATGTATGATCCTACAGCGTGAATTTGCAGCATTTTGACGGGTGGAGGGCGGGTGGTTTCCAAAATGTGGTTGTCGTTTTAGCGCCGTGCACATTCGTTTGAACAGTTTGCAAGCGTTTCACGGATGGAAGGCGGGTCGTTTAAAAATGTGGTTCTCGCTTCAGCAAAGTTCACATGTTGATTAAAACGTTGCGACCGTTTCACGGATGGAGGGCGGTTCCGTTTCAACATGCGATTCTCGCCTTAGCGCCGCGCACATTCGTGCGTAAGATTCTACAGCAGGTTCAAGGGCTCTCTTGGTTAATCTCCCCTACATAACTGTTTGGCATGATGTCGGATTGTCAGGGCGCAACATTTAAGTCGATTCGTTGTCTTGAAGTCCCGGAATTTGTGTTCTGACGCGGTTCAGGATCGTCACGGCGCACCACTGACGGTGATTCGCGCGGTGACGTCCCAGGCATGATGTTCTGGCTTCCGGAATATTCAAACGATTGTGTTCTAACGGGGCCATTCCCTCAATGGAAATGAATCTTTGCACATGCGTATCAAGAGGGAGCATGGAGGGAGGGTTATTGGAAAATCGTTGGTGAGTATTGGGTTTACTCTGGGCCTCCTCCTCTTCCTCATCCTCCTCCTTATCCTCCTCCTCCTCCTCCTCCGACTTCTAGCTGCCGCGAGAGATCGAGAGCGGCGGCCAGCTGGCGACAGGAGCCAGTGTAGCCCTTTTCAGCGAACCCAGCATGCTTAGAGCTGGGCTTGGGGGGGCATGGCGCTGTGTGTTCTGATCTCTGTCTCTCTGATAAGCCTCTCGGGCCAAAAGGCTTCAAGCGCAGACTCCGTGACAGCCATTACGGTGCCCGATCTGTGCACTGGAGGTGGGAGGAGGATGGTAAGAGTTGCAACGTACAACCCACTGGCGGCAGACCACGACAGATTATGTGAAATTAGTGCTGAACTGAGGACCTGGGATTGCGTGCTGGTCTGCGGGACGCAACAAAGGGCAGAAATAGACCATCCCACAACCCAAGTGCAGTTTGCTAATCACTGGGGCATAAAATTTGGAAGGGGAACAGGGTCGAAATATACCAACAGAAGTTGCGGACTAGCTATTCGCTTAGGACACAAATTCCCGCGGTCATCCCTCAAGGAAGTATGCTGTCCCCCTAAGACCTTGCAGGGCCGTGTAGGAGCGGTACGACTACAGACCACTCAGGAGGACTTACTACTTGTGGCAGTGTATTTTGCGCCAGCGACTGAAAAGAGAAGTGAAGAGACGGCCGAAAAGATTTGCACGTGGATGGAGTCATTGTATGACAGACGGGGTGTGAGGACAACATTAATTGTGGGTGGGGATGTCAACAGTGATTTCGGACTTGCGAGGGACGAGACTGGATACATGAGGAGCACCCAAGGTCGTGAAGTAGGGAGAGAATGGCCACGACCAGAAAATAGTAATGGGAGGCGCTTTCGCCAGTTCTGTCAGGAGAATCAACTGTTTATTGCAACTACGGACGCAAAGCAAGTAAAGCAAACAATTTACGGAGTAAAAGGAGGAGGAGGAAGGATCGACCACTTTGCTATACCAGCGGGGGCAAGGGATTTGGTGGAGCACTGCAGCACGCTAAGAAATGCAGGAAAGCGACTGCAAACGATCAGATCACGGTTTCCGAGGGACCACGTGCCGGTAGGTATGCAGCTGCCCCTTGGATTGAAGTGCAGGAACTATGTCAGAATACCTCAGGCACCACAACTGGACCGACACCTGCTTATGAGATGTGTGAAGGAAGGAGTGTGCAGGGAGGAGCTGTTCGAGAGGATAGAGGAGGGGGCGAAGAAGGTATCACAGGAGGAGTGGGATGCAGCGGCTGGTAAGAGGACACCCGACAGACTTTGGGACATCCTGGGGAAGGTTGTACGGGACGCGCTGCAGGATACCTTCCCACCCAACCGACGGAATATTCCAGAGTGGTTACAGGAGGTGAGGGCTGCACGGATGGAGTTGCTGACGACAAGAAGGGAGCTGAGAGGACGCAGCGGGAGCGAGGAGGAGTACGAGGAGGTCAGCGAGAGGTTGAAAGAGATAAGTGCGCTACTGCAGAAGTCAAGAAGGATAGAGGTGAGAAGAAGGCGGCTAGAGCTGGTAGGGGATATCTGGGAGGCTTACAAAAAAGGGAGGTGGGCGGAAATGCACGAACTACGAGTAGAGTATGCTAGAAACGGACATGGCCCAAAAAAACGGTACTACTTCGCCCCACGCTGCTACTGGACAGCAAGCGACTGGGCGAGGGAGTTAGGCAAAGCTCCAGAGGAGGGAGGAATGTCGTGCAAGGAGGTAGAAGGAGGATGGGAGAAGGTGCGTAGTGACTACGAGCAAGGGTGTGAGGAGGATGAGGAGGAAATGTTATACGATAGCGTGGACCTACGTCACCTTGTGAGGAGCGACAAGGCAGCCATGCTACAGTACCTCAGGCATGCTAAACGACGGAGGGCCTGGCCACAGTGGGGGCTGCCGAGTGAAGCGTCGTTACTGATACTGGCTCCCAATATCAACATGAAGGGACCGAATAGGGCCTCTGAGGTAGTTGCTGAGAGAATGGCAAGAGCTGCGGAGGAGGATGAGGAGGAGCAAGCAAAGCAGCAGGAGCAGCGCATGATGAAGAAAGGACTGGCGTTATTAAGAAAAATGGGGTGGTCGCCAGGAGAAAGTCTAGGGAGGAGGCAGAGGGAGGAGGGGCAGGAGGCGCAGGAGGTGGTACAGGACCCTCACCGGTGCTTTGGCCGTGCGGCAGGTGCAGGGGTAGGAACGACGAAGGCAGAATTCTCGGCGCCGTTCTTCCAAGAACAGGTGGACAGATGGTTCCTATTGGTAAGACGAGCAAACTGCATGCCGCTGGATACATTGCGTGCCCAGAGCTTTGCCAGCAGCAAGAACAACGGGAGGGAAGGCATCTTAGGACAACGTGTGATGCATAGCTATTGCAGCTGGGGCATGGCATGGCATGCAGGGATACATAGGAGATCTAAGAAAGTGGAGAGGCCCGACTGGGCGCACGGTGGACTGAAATACAGGGGGAGGGAGGAGGCCATACTTACACTACAAACTGCACAGTGGAGATGTCGTGAAGCCAAGGTATCACATGTGACGACAAATTTTGACTGCACTAATGCCTTCGCGAGCACGAAGCGCAGTCTACTGGAGCAGGTGGTGTCAGAACAAGCTGGAGAGGGGGACGAGATGCTTGCACTAGGGACGATCCAGCACCAGGCAATCAGCA